TGGTTTTGAGCTTCTCGTATTAGACCCCATATATCTGCTCTATTTTATTCGTACTTTCCCCAACGTTCGTTTAGCACACGCTTTTATCATGAAATAAAATCACAATAGGAAATTTTGCTTGCAAACTGACTGTGTGTAACAGACTTTCTGCAAAATTTTAGGGCATTTAGATTCAGAATTCACTGCTATGAGTGTTTGTTTAAAAATCTTCTTTGACTAGCCGTTCTTCAGATCATCATATTTTGGCCAAAAAATCGTGAAATGAAGTCAAATTTCGATAAATATGGTTCAAAAGTAACTATGCAGGAGGGTAATTTTGATGTAAGTATTTTTTTATAGAAAACATAATTTAAGACCGGAAATTCGAATAATTTGAAATACGAAGAAACAGCCAAGACGGTTTTTCATTTTTTTAACTTAACTTGGAAACGCCGGCACTTTTTTTTCAATCTTTTCGATCTCGAGTTAAATTTGAAATACTCCTTGGGAAAAAAAGCAATTTTCTCCCTATTGCTTAGAAGTAAAATAAAATTTGATGGTTTTCGAACCACTTTGAGCTTCTGTATGAATGCTTGTCGTAGCTGGTTCACAGTCTGGAAACAAGCAATTTGGATCTGATATAGAGCTGTAGTTAGCTTATGCAAGTTTTATAGTGTCATTGAATGTGATCTGTGCAAACTGAGATCATTGGTACTAGCATTTACTCGGAGTATTTGGAGCAGCTGATTTCTTTTAAATTTTAGACGCACTATGATATTGTTAGCCAAACTCAGTCGTTTCGGACCACAATTGTTGGCCGTTTTGTATTATTTTTGGATGAACGCGTTACCATCACAGCCGATGATGTTCAGTTTGTGCTGGATGTGGCGAACACGGAACCGGAAAGACTTTATGGGTTTTTTCCAGCTCATTTGAAGGTTTCAATTATTCTGTAATTTCTTCCGAGTTACCAAATTCTTTACAGTTCATATTTACACACTCGACCAACTGCTTCTCAAAATTTTGAGAGTTGCTAGGAATTTCGCTTCCAAGCTTTCGAATATCTCTGCAAAGTTTCAGCCTTGAAACTTGTTTGGTAAGCTAGGTAAGTAGCCGCTTTGACCAATTTTTGCATCATCTGTTGTTCCACTTACTTTCGACCCCAACATTCGTTTCGTTCCTTGAAGGGTTAGCAACTCAGTTTTCGTGAATGTGTAGATGATAAGGCCTTAGTCATTTCAAAGTATTCTTTTTGTGTTTTGATCAGCATCATTTCGTCTCAAAGTTGTTACTCCCACAACACGGAATATTTTACCAATTAAAGGATAATGGTATGACAAAAAATTGTCGAATTAATATCACTGGCACTTATTGCCTTACCAACCATAGTTTTAGTAGACGTTGTGGATATTCATATTGATTACCGTAGTGTGAGTTGTGAAATCATCTTCAAAATTGATGTATTTCCGTTTTTTATAACACCGAAACCTTCTACGTACACCCTTACTCGTGATATAATTTTCTTTTAAAGACGACTTCGAAAAGTCGACTATAAGCATGTGAAGTTAAAACGTGTCCTAATCAGGCAAGTACAGTTAATTCATTCAAAATTACAGCAAACACCAGTTTTCTGTTTTAGGCGGATGAAAAGCTACGAACAATTGAAATTACACCGAGCCATCAGTATTCGATTGTTCTCTTTCATCTTGCCTTAATGAGGAAGTGAATTTTTTTGCTCTGTAATCAGTTTTTTTTCACTTGTTTTCTGACTACAGGGCCTGCAACACCATTAAAAATCGCCGGACGGGGCATGTTGATTACACCTAAAAATGTAAACAGTTATGTGATGAAGGAAAAATTAAGCCTTTGGAGGTCTTGTATTGTGATAGGTGATAGAATAAGAGCGAACTTGGTTCAGCTCGAAATTATAGTCTGACTTTTCAGTGCTGTATCGCTAATCTAATCAGTGCTGTATCGCTTGACTGCAGTCGTACTTTAGTTGCTGATGTTGATTTCTTTTCTGGAAGGAATATCGGCCCAACGTTTCTCCCGAAGTACTACATAGGTTTAGCCTTTCCAAGATGTCCTTGACGCATTTTGAGTGAATATATCTTGAGCAAGTGATTTTTAGACTGCGATTTGGATGCTGATTAGGAAAAACAAAACAGTTTCTGACCGATGGCAGTAACGCCTTTGAAAAAAGAAATAATTCCTTTAAGGGAATATCTATCACTGTTTTGGCAGTGGGTTCCAACACCGGCCAAGGAAATAGCCTCGAAATTCGCGCATTGTTATGGAT